GAGTGTTGTGAGAAAGAGTTTTTTTTTAAAGTTGATATTCTTTAATTTTAATATATATATATATATATACAGTATATACAATATATTATTGATATTGATATTTAAATTAAGTATTATTTATAATATTTGTATTGTTCTTATTAAAAAATTTATTGTATACAGATTTAAAAAATCAATTATTTTGTCATCCAGCAAGATATATTGTTTTAAATTTTCTTTTCAATATTAGTTATATGGTTACTGTAGGCAAGCTAGCATTTAATTTATTGTATCAATATATGAGAGATGTTGTTTTTTTCATGATGTATACCTTGTTATATACAAACCAAATAAAGAAATGATGTTTACTTACTAAAAAAAAATAATAATAATAAATCAATTATTTCTAATAATTACAATTTTTTAATATTTTTGATAATTTTATAATTTAAATATTTTTATTTGAGATATTTATAATGCTTATCAAACTTTTTTTTATTTTTTATTTTTGTAAGCTAAGCTAACTCTTGTATAAAAAAAAATTTTTTTAAATAAAATTATATATATTTTTTGATATTTTGTACTTGTTATTGTTTAATAAGAATATTGAATCATCAGCAATAGTGTAATAATAATAATTCAAAATTTTTGCCATCAATAACCTGGTAATATAAAATAATTAGTAATTGTTGTATTGTTTATACAGTATATACCGTGCCACAACATCTGCGATGTATTATATATTGATTTTGGACAAGGGGTAACGCTATATATAATATAATTAATATTCGGTGGCTCTTAAAATGGGATAACGTCATTTAGTCATGCAGAACTAAAATTTAACAGTTCCCAATCTCAATTCTCAATCTTATTGTTAACATAAATTTTTATTTAAACTAATACTTTAGCAATTTATTAATATTGCAATCATATACATATATTATCTACATAAGGTTTTGATGCAATTTCATTGCATCGCGCGTATAATCGACAAATTTCTGATAAATACCTTAGTATCTTTAAGACGTGTGAAATTTAAGAGTATTTGGTAATTGTTTTTTTTTTTCTTTTTTTTTTGAGTACGGGAAATTATATTACGAAACGAAGATCTCTGAACTGGTTCTTATTTTATAATATATACAAATTGAAATTATAGAAGCGAAGAAAATATAGAAGAAACGCGAAATACGATTTCTGTAGTATATAACAAAGAAATAAAACTTTTTGATAGTTACTTTCTCTAATAACATACACGTTAATTAGTAATATGTATCGTTCGTTTTATAGAATTTAATAGAAGGTGGCAAATAAAGGGGAATAAATCGAGTCAAAAAAACCAGTTAATTTACGCGTGTCCTGCACGATTGATTATTACGACAGGAAGCACAATTTTTGATTTCCACTTTTTTACGATAAAAGTGATTTGACATCAATCGATTTGCGTGGACGTTCCGAAGATGTTGAGGATTCTCTTGAAGTTCTTAAAGAGGTATCAAAAGGGCTATCCTTGGAGTCATATTCCCCCGATGACGAGGGAGGAGGAGTGAGAAATTCGAATTGTTCGCACAATTTGGAACGTAGTTGACAAATCTAATTACGTAAAAATGACATGATTATAATGATGCAAGAAATCAAACGAATTGAGCATCACGTGGAAATCCACAAATTCCTTACCTCTTTCTCCAGTTCTCGTAATTTATATTGGGAAGCATTTTTTTCCTCGGTAACCTCCATCAATCTTTTTTCTAATTCAGCTATGCGCTTGGCACTGTCGGTACTCTCCAATTCTTGAACTCGTCGTTCCAGAAATCGGCATTTTTCTTGCATCTCCCTTTCACGTTGTTTTCGCCGATCACGAAAGCGAGCCGATGCACCAGCATTTCGTCGCCTTTTTTCAGCCAGCAACTCGGTTGCAGGATCGAATTGCTTGGCCTGATGATAAATTTGATGTGAAATACCATGGTGATTATGTGTATTTGGAGGGGTGGTCATTGTTATTTGAGGCGTAGCATCAATAGATCTTGTTTGTGAATAAGATTGTTGCTTAAATTGTGGCGTGTCAAAATGAATGTGTCCATTTGATAAGGGGGGCGTAGACGTAGTTTCAGAGGATGAGGGAGCGGGATATATGTTCAAAGCAACACTTTTAGTCGCTACAGTTGGCGTTGAGCTGGCATATGTGTGTGAGAGATGCATTGGCGATGGTATGAGGTTGACGTCATGAGGATTAGAAAAGTCGGCAGGGAGAACTGTCCGAGGTACTTGTGGAGTAAGACGTGAAACAGGCGGTAAAACAGGCGTGATGTTTTGAGAGACCGAAGGAATCATGATTGGAGGAAGAACTCTTGCAGAACCAGAAGAGTTGAATGTCATATTTTTGATAGCGAAACAAAACAACGAAAACCAGTATTACGCTATGACAAGAGAAGAGATGAATCGAATGAGATGGAGCTCAACATCAGTATTTACACCAGAGATATTCTTCGACGAATAAAATTTACCTGTGATAATCGCAATGCCTTTTAAATAAAAAAAAAAGTCTGCTTCAAAACAAGTTTTTTTCTTTTGTTCCAGTAAAATAAGGGGGGCGAAGGTCGGTAAAAGAGGATTATAATTTCTGAAGTGAACAGGAACGGAGATTTAAAGTTTCTTAAAAAAAGAAAAAAAGGAAGACGTCAAAAGGACAAAACAAGGTCGAGTATTTCTCCGAGAATTGAACAGGTTTATGTAGAAGTTTTTTATGTCATATCGCGTACCCAAATATGTCGAATATCAATACGTATATAAATTGTAGTAGATGGGACAAAGAAATGTGGAATCGTTCATTGGGCAGTATCGATTATGAATCATCAACAGTATAAATGATGCCATGGAGTGTTGACTTTATCGCTATGTGTCTATGTGTCACTACATTTGTTATTTATGTAATGTTGTAATCTGTTTTTTAATTTCGTATTTTTTTTTTTGAGTCGATTTTTTGAATGATTAAATATAAATAAAAAATTTAAGTTCAATATTTAAGGCGAAAAAAATAAACAAAGTCTATATGGTTTGTTAGCATACATTTGTCTTATACCTGTCACGGTTCCTGAATTTTATTTTATTTGGGGCATGGAAATGACGAGCCATTCTACTGAATTTACTCTGACGGTATATATGAACGGCAGTCTTAAACTACCATTATATTACAAAAAAGTTGGACAATAGAAGATGACGATAATTTTTTTACTTCGTGAATATGTACATAGATACGTAATAGTGAAGTGATACAGGATATTTCAATCACGCACTTATAATAAGGAATGGAATACTGGATTAATCGTGAAAAATTCAGCATTTTTTTTTATTTTTTAATATTGATCTCGGAATTCCCATCCTAATTGAAACGGGAAATGCATCTCTGTTGATTACGACATCATTCTGAAATACGTACGTAAATAAGATCGAGAATTATTCTTTTTCTCATGGTTAAGTGGCTTCACCCATTGCAATTTATTGTTAAATTCGGTTTTACCACATACATTCTTTCATCCGTCGGGATCCTTTGAACCTGTAATAGGCAATTCAATGATCTAGTAACATTAATCGACAAATGTATGCTATCGGAATTCGACAATCAAGTATTATCATAAATTAAACCTCTTATAGATCTCCAAGTATCGTATTCAATAAATTCGATCTGACTTGGTATTCTGATACCTGTACTTATTTCGTTAAGAATGTTCCATAACCAATGTTACCAAATAGATTACGTACATTTGACGAAAATTCAAATGCGTTAGTTTAATTCGGAATTTGGGATAGATTGTTGCGGTCACTTCTACACAATTAATTATTATTCTTTATTGGAATTTGGTTAGATCTACATCTCTTTCTTATTATTCTGATCATGTAATCACACATTTTAATGGATCCAGGCCACGAAACAATTATCGTCCATTTTAATTTTCCATAGAAATTAAAAAAAATAATAATAAGTTTTTTGTGAACACCTTCACTTATGATAAATAGGACATTAATATAAAAGAAAAAAGCGATCGCTTCTTCGAAAAAGTAACCTTCAGTACGGCTAAACTTTTATGCATGTTCCCGGGTCGTTAATAACTTTTTAAAGGAATGCGCACATGATGGAATTTACAATAGGACAATACATTGTCACATATAAAAAAAAAAAGTTTTTTTCATGGTGAAACATTTATCATAGGTTTCGTATTATGTATTTTTTTTTTCTTTTTTTCCATGCGGGGCAATCTCATAAAAACGATTACCATTACGTAGGAATTCAATTAACTAATAATATTTATCGGTTTTATTAGTTATTAAAAACTGCATTTCATTCTAAATTCTGATCTTGGCTTTTTAGATTAGCTCTCCGAATATTCCGAGAGTTAAAATTTAGTGAAAACAATTGTATGGATAATATAACGATATTTTATTGATTATATAATACAAACAAAAAAAATCAATTATCTTACTATATACAATTTTAATATAATTAATTTTGTAATAAAAAAAGTAATGGATTTTGATAATCAAATTTAAAAATAAAAATCATTACGATTGTATATATTATAATTATAGATTTTATAAAAAACAGATCACAATAACATAAAATTTAAAAATGATATACTATATTTATTTATTTATTTATATAATTTTAAATCAATTAAATTATTTAATATAATATTCTTGAAATCTAAATTAAAAAAGAATATTCAAAAAAGTCAAAGTTTACTTTGACAACATATATAATAGATATTTATAGTAGTTCAAATATGATATTTCAACAAGATCTTGTTTTATATATAGTAAATAATAATACAAAGTTCAGATTTGAATTCAATAAAACATTTGTAAAATTACTTTAACTATTGAATTTGAAAAAAAAAAATCTTTATCTAAATTAAAACAAGGATTAATTTAGGTTATACAAGAAAAATAAACAAATATTACTATAAAATTAAGAATAGATATATCAAATATTAAAAAAAAATTTTTTAGATTTAAATCTATAAAATAAAAATTATTTCTTTTAATATCATTATATATTTTTTATAATCTATAATAATTAATAAAATTCATATATATAATATAGTTAGTATTATTAAAAAATTTTTTCTTATTAAATCTAATAATCATTACTTTATTTTTTATTATTATTGTATAATAAACATCTTTACAAAATAGACTATTGCTATTTTATATATAAATTAATACTCTCTAGTAATATTATTTTCAATATTATTGAGTTTTCCTTCAAACCAAACCAACTATCCTAGTTAATTAACTTATATTATGAAAAAAAGTTTATATTCAAGTAAGATTTATACAGGAGGGAAAAATCCTACCATTAATTTAAACTTATTCAAATAAATTACATATTTATTCTTTTTATCTGGATTTTTGATTTGTCTTCTAATTAATTCTCTATCAAATTCTTTTAAATATTTTTAACTATTCAATTTTTTAAATTTTAAAATTTTAGATTATATTAATAACAAGTTAAAATTTCTTATAATTATATAATTGCAGTTATAATAATCTTATTTTTTAAAAAAATCTTACAATCAAATGGCTCAAACTTAAATATTGACAGTTTCTAATTAATATATACTCAAAAATTATTATATTAATTTTACAATTCTTTCTTCAAATTTTTATAATATTATTACTAATCAATAATAATTTTGTTATTAATATTACATTTAAATAAAATTTGTTAATCATTATATTAATCTTTTTGATATTTTACTTAATTAATCAATAACACTAGTTGAAATTGATTTATTTGGCATAATATCACTTGTCAATCATTTGTTAAAAAAGTATATAATTTAGCTAATTAAATTTATATAATTTTTATCTTTGGCTTAGGACTTCGAAAAGTACTGAACTGGTATTGAACTGGTATTAAAATAGTACTGATTTAAATAAAATTTGTTAATCATTATATCAATCTTTTTGATATTTTACTTAATTAATCAATAACACTAGTTGAAATTGATTTATTTGGTATAATATCACTTGTCAATCATTTGTTAAAAAAGTATATAATTTAGCTAATTAAATTTATATAGTTTTTATTTTTGACTTAGGGCTTCGAAAAGTACTGAACTGGTATTGAGCTGGTATCAAAATGGTACTGATTTATAATAAATTTAATATATGGATTGTGATCTACTCATATAATTTTATAGTAAATTTAAGTATTGAACTAATATCAAAGTGGTATCAAAGTGATATCATTAGAAGCCCTACTTTGACTATAAAGCAATGTATAATTTATTTTGCATATAAATAATATATTTTTTTTAAACTTCATTTTGAAGAAGTTAATATTTTAACAGTAAAATAGATAATTTATTTTTTGTGCCAAATATATATATTGTATATATTTTGACTTTACCAAATTAAATTATTTTGACGAATTATATTATCTTGCCAAATATACAATATATTGCTAAATTATATTACTTTGCCAAATTATATTACCTTGCCATATATATATAGTATGTTTGCCAAATTATATTATATTACTTAATTACAGTAACAGTCAAAAATAATGAGAATTTTAAATTGGCTATTATGTCTTAAAATTTATTTAATTTTTATTTAATTTTTATAAATTTAAAAATCTTAATATATCAATTTTAAGATATAATAAATTAAATATTTCATTTTTTTATCCTTTAATTCAATTACATTATTTAAATGTTGAGTCATTGAATTTACTAATTTAAAATATAAATTTCGATCAATTTTTTTTCTATTCTTTTTCAATAATTTGTTGAAACTTGCTTACAGATATATGCTTATTTTTCATGATATATATATTTACCTGTTTTTCAATTCTCCTCTTCAAAATGGCTCACAAATTCTTAATCTGATTCAAATCTGAGCTGTTTGAGAGCCAATCGATAATATGAACATGATGAAAATCTATAAACTCTTGAGTAAATTTGGCTTTGTGTGTTGGTGCATTATCTTGTTGAAAGTGCCATCATGTTTCAGCCTTATGAGCATATGGAAGAAGATGTTCAGTAAAAATTTCACAATATCTAGTAGCAGTTAAGATTCCTGAGAACATGTAGAATCCAATTGAATCTTGTGCTGAAAATATCACACACATATGAATCTTATATAAATACTTTACTATTGCTTTTTGTAGAAGAGACTTCATACCAATCTTATATCTAACTAATTTAATATTTTGAAACATTTGAAAAGTTACCTCATCCAAAAATATTGTTTGGTTTCATTGGTTATTAATATAACAAAGTACTTAATCTTGATGAGTTTTAATATGCACAGGTGTTAATAATGGTATATGTTAAGAACAAACTACCTTATAATTAAGAGCTACAAGTTCACAA